TGTCAATTAGTGGTGTGCAGGGTGAATACGTTGTCTGTTTTATGGTAATTTTGGAAAAAGTCCAATTTGACTTCCTCAGTGGAAACATGTACTGAGCAAATGTCAAATTGGCTTTTTACCAAATTACCATAAAACAGACCACGTATTCACCCTGCACACACTAATTGACAAACAAACAAACCAAAACAAAGGCAAAGTCTTTTCATGCTTTGTTGATTTCAAATAAATGGAAAGCGGTGTTCGGGGAAAAACATACATCATTATGAAATTCATGTACACAAACAAAACTTGTGCAGTTAAAATTGGCAAAAAACACATACATTTATTTCCTCTGGGCCATGGGGTGACACAGGGATGCAGTTTAAGCCCCACCCTCTTCAACATATATATCAATGAATTAGCGAGGGCACTAGAACAGTCTGCAGCACCTAGCCTCACCCTACTAGAATCTGAAGTCAAATGGCTACTGTTTGCTGATGATCTGGTGCTTCTGTCCCCAACCAAGGAGGGCCTACAGCAGCACCTAGATCTTCTGCACAGATTCTGTCAGACCTGGGCCCTGACAGTAAATCTCTGTAAGACAAAAATAATGGTGTTCCAAAAAAGGTCCAGTTGCCAGGACCACAAATACAAATTCCATCAAACACCGTTGCCTTAGAGCACACAAAAAATGATCCGAACCTTGGCCTAAACATCAGCACTACAGATAACGTCCACAAAGTACTGAACAATCTGAGAGACAAGGCAAGAAGGGCCTTCTACGCCATCAAAAGGAACCTAAAATTCGACATACAAATTAGAATCTGGCTAAAAATACTTGAATCAGTTATAGAACCCATTGACCTTTATGGTTGTGAGGTCTGGGGTCCGCTCACCAATCATGAATTCACAAAATGGGACAAACACCAAATTGAAACTCTGCATGCAGAATTCTGCAAATAAACATCCTCCATGTACAATGTAAAACACCAAATAATTAATGCAGAGCAGAATTAGGCCAATGCCCGCTAATTATCAAAATCCAGAAAAGAGCTGTTAAATTCTTCAACCACCTAAAAGGAAGCGATTCCCAAACCTTCCATAACAAAGCCATCACCTACAGAGAGATGAACCTGGAGAAGAGTCCCCTAAGTAAGCTGGTCCTGGGGATCTGTTCACAAACACAAACAGACCCCACAGAGCCCCAGGACAGCAACTGCAACACAGTTAGACCCAACCAAATCATGAGAAAAAAGATAATTACTTGACACATTGGAAAGAACAAACAAAAAAACTGAGCAAACTAGAATGCTATTTGGCCCTAAACAGAGAGTACACAGTGGCAGAATACCTGACCACTGTGACTGACCCAAACTTAAGGAAAGCTTTGACTATGTACAGACTCAGTGAGCATCGCCTTGCTATTGAGAAAGGCCGCCGTAGGCAGACCTGGCTCTCAAGAGAAGACAGGCTATGTGCACACTGCCCACAAAATGAGGTGGAAACTGAGCTGCTCTTCCTAACCTCCTGCCAAATGTATGACCATATTAGAGACACATATTTCCCTCAAATTACATAGTCCCACAAATAATTCGAAATAACATTCAATTTTGATAAACTCTCATATATGTTGGGTGAAACATCACAGCAGCAATATTTGTGACCTGTTGCCACAAGAAAAGGGCAACCAGTGAAGAACAAACACCATTGTAAATACAACCCATATTCATGTTTATTTATTTTTCCATTGGTACTTTAACTATTTGCACATTGTTACAACACTGTATATAGACATAATATGACATTTGAAATGGGTTTATTTTTTTGAAACTTCAGAGGGTTGGAGGGGGGGAGAGAGAGAGAGAGAGAGAGAGAGAGAGAGAGAGAGAGAGAGAGAGAGAGAGAGAGAGAGCGCAAGAGAGAGACAGCAGGAGAGAGAGAGAGACAGATGTTTGAAATATTCCACAGAGAATCCTTACTAATTCACTTAACTGATTATACTAAGCCATGGTACTGGGTATTAGCCGTGTGTATGTGTGTGTGTGTATGTGTGTGTGTGTGTTTGTGGGTGGTAGTCTGGTGACAATGGTAGAGCATCCCTTACCGGTGTGTTCCATTCACTGAAGGGATTACCACGATCATGTTCCCCTGCCTTAATGTTTCCCTGTCATTACCACGATCATGTTCCCCTGCCTTTATGTTTCCCTGTCATTACCAGGAACATGTTCCCCTGCCTTTATGTTTCCCTGTCATTACCACGATCATGTTCCCCTGCCTTTATGTTTCCCTGTCATTACCACGAACATGTTCCCCTGCCTTTATGTCTCCCTGTCATTACCACGAACATGTTCCCCTGCCTTAATGTTTCCCTGTCATTACCACGAACATGTTCCCCTGCCTTAATGTCTCCCTGTCATTACCACGAACATGTTCCCCTGCCTTTATGTTTCCCTGTCATTACCAGGAACATGTTCCCCTGCCTTTATGTTTCCCTGTCATTACCACGAACATGTTCCCCTGCCTTTATGTCTCCCTGTCATTACCACGAACATGTTCCCCTGCCTTAATGTTTCCCTGTCATTACCACGAACATGTTCCCCTGCCTTAATGTCTCCCTGTCATTACCACGAACATGTTCCCCTGCCTTTATGTTTCCCTGTCATTACCACGAACATGTTCCCCTGCCTTTATGTTTCCCTGTCATTACCACGAACATGTTCCCCTGCCTTTATGTTTCCCTGTCATTACCACGAACATGTTCCCCTGCCTTAATGTTTCCCTGTCATTACCACGAACATGTTCCCCTCCCTTAATGTTTCCCTGTCATTACCAGGAACATGTTCCCCTGCCTTTATGTTTCCCTGTCATTACCAGGAACATGTTCCCCTGCCTTTATGTTTCCCTGTCATTACCACGAACATGTTCCCCTGCCTTAATGTTTCCCTGTCATTACCAGGAACATGTTCCCCTGCCTTTATGTTTCCCTGTCATTACCAGGAACATGTTCCCCTGCCTTTATGTTTCCCTGTCATTACCAGGAACATGTTCCCCTGCCTTTATGTTTCCCTGTCATTACCAGGAACATGTTCCCCTGCCTTTATGTTTCCCTGTCATTACCAGGAACATGTTCCCCTGCCTTTATGTCTCCCTGTCATTTCATTGCACAGTCTGCTTACATTACATCTGCTGCCCACTTACCACCTGCAGTTGCATAGTGACTTAAAATGTTGACGGCGCTCAGAACCAACTTCGAGTTGAGGTGGAGCCTAAATGGGGTGGAGGTGGAGCCTAAATGGGGTGGAGGTGGAGCCTAAATGGGGTTGAGGTGGAGCCTAAATGGGGTGGAGGTGGAGCCTAAATGGGGTTGAGGTGGAGCCTAAATGGGGTTGAGGTGGAGCCTAAAAGGGGTGGAGGTGGAGCCTAAATGGGGTGGAGGTGGAGCCTAAATGGGGTTTGAGGTGGAGCCTAAATGGGGTTGAGGTGGAGCCTAAAAGGGGTTGAGGTGGAGCCTAAATGGGTTGAGGTGGAGCCTAAATGGGGTTGGAGGTGGAGCCTAAATGGGGTTGAGGTGGAGCCTAAATGGGGTGGAGGTGGAGCCTAAATGGGGTGGAGGTGGAGCCTAAATGGGGTTGAGGTGGAGCCTAAATGGGGTGGAGGTGGAGCCTAAATGGGGTTGAGGTGGAGCCTAAATGGGGTGGAGGTGGAGCCTAAATGGGGTGGAGGTGGAGCCTAAAAGGGGTTGAGGTGGAGCCTAAATGGGGTTGAGGTGGAGCCTAAATGGGGTTGAGGTGGAGCCTAAATGTTAAGTTCACATGAGGGGAACAGGGAGAAAAAGTATACAAACTTAACTGTGCCGTTCGTTGCACAAGTTGAACAGTTCGCACACCCTATGTGTTACAAATTAGATGTAGCTGTTGTATACACAGTAGTGTTCTTTAACATGGATAGTTTCTACTATCTCAATAAGAACAATAAGCTCAATTTACATGTAGACATATCAACGCGTAACCAAATTTACTTAGAAATGTGATTTCTAGATCTGTCATTCTACTTGAAAGCAAGTCTAAGAAGCAGTATATCTGTTCTATGGGCGCTATTTCTATGCTTCCCGTTGTTAAGATTTGTTTATTCGTCTTTACTTTCGGTTTAGTACACCAGCTATAAACAGCTGAAACAACAATATGTTTGGTCTATTTCACTTGCTCTTGCAATGTAAACATATGTTTCAAATGCCAACCAAGCTCTTTGAGTTGAATTGAATGTACCTATCACCTGTTGCGTCTCCTTGATATGACCTGTTCCGTCTCCTTGATATGACTTGTTCCGTCTCCTTGATATGACCTGTTCCGTCTCCTTGATATGACCTGTTCCGTCTCCTTGATATGACCTGTTCCGTATCCTTGATATGACCTGTTCCGTCTCCTTGATATGACCTGTTCCGTCTCCTTGATATGACCTGTTCCGTATCCTTGATATGACCTGTTCCGTCTCCTTGATATGACCTGTTCTGTCTCCTTGATATGACCTGTTCCGTCTCCTTGATATGACCTGTTCCGTCTCCTTGATATGACCTGTTCCGTCTCCTTGATATGACCTCCTCCGCCTCCTTGATATGACCTGTTCCGCCTCCTTGATATGACCTGTTCCTTCTCCTTGATACGACCTGTTCTATCTCTCTGTCTCTCTCTATCTCTCTAAACCGTCACCTGTGGTCTGTCTCTCTGTTTCTCTAACTCATCACCTGTGGTCTGCCTCTCTGTCTCTCTGTCTCTATAACTCGTCTCTCTGTCTCTATAAGTTTACCCAGACTTCAGATGTCTGGGTAAAGAGAGTGTTACTGTTGGAGGATTCGCTGCGCTCCTTTCCCTCTCACCTACCTCCTAGCTACCTGTCCACCTCTGTATATTTCCTATTTTCCTCCTACCTATTGCCCAGTAATTAACTCATTGGATTGTCCTTATCCACATCTCCCTCTCCTCCCCTCTACCCCATGACTGACCTCCTCTTCCTCTCTCCGTAGTCTCCACTTCCTGGTATTCCACACGGAGGAGGTCCATGATGTCTTGCGTATCTGGGACGGTCCTCAGGATGGAGGGGTCCTCCTGAGGGAGCTCAGCGGCTCGGCCCTTCCCCCTGACGCCCACAGCACCTTCAACACTGTCAGCCTCCAGTTCACCACCGACTTCTTCACCTCCAAACAGGGCTTCGCTCTGCAGTTCTCTGGTAAGGAGGGGTAGAGTCGGTGTGTGTCAACGTGTAGTGGAGGGGGTGAGGTTTGTGGAGTGGTGTGTATGTGTATGTGGTGGGGAAGTGTTTGTATCTGTTCATCTTAAGAGGCTATATAAATCCATATAGAAAGTATCTGTCATATTTAGAGGCTATATAAATCCATATAGAAAGTATCTGTCATATTTAGAGGCTATTTAAATCCACATAGAAAGTACAAGTGTCTGCTAAATGACATAGTAATGGATCCTAACCTGAGATAGTTGTGGGTAACTTAGTGACTTGATGTAAATAATGTATACATGTCAATGGAAAATTAAGATATATTGAGTTTCTATTCAGCCCTAAATATATGTACTATAGAGTTGAAAACAGCCATTATCTTCACTCCACTAACATCCTTGTGTCTTCCTCTGTCTCCAGTGTCTACTGCTACGTCATGTAACGACCCAGGTCTGCCCGCCAACGGGACTCGTAGTGGGGACAGCAGGGAGCCTGGAGACGATGTGCTGTTCCAGTGTGATCCCGGTTACGTCCTGCAGGGGGCCACCAAGATCACCTGCACGGAGATCAACAGCCGCTTCTTCTGGCAGCCTGACCCACCCACCTGCACAGGTAACTACACAGTCATGTTACCAAACCATATAGCCACCTACACAGGTAACTAAATACACAGTCATGTTTCCTACCAAACCATATACCCACCTGCACAGGTAACTAAATACACAGTCATGTTTCCTACCAAACCATATACCCACCTACACAGGTAACTACACAGCTTTACATTACCAACCCAGTCTGTACCAATGGTACCTACCTACCAACTGAACCTGCTACAACAAGACCTGCTACAGTACTCCAGATGATGATCATACCATGTAGTTTCTCTGCTACCTGCAACAGTACTCCAGATGATGATCATACCATGTTGTTTCTCTGCTACCTGCTACAGTACTCCAGATGATGATCATACCATGTAGTTTCTCTGCTACCTGCTACAGTACTCCAGATGATGATCATACCATGTTGTTTCTCTGCTACCTGCTACAGTACTCCAGATGATGATCATACCATGTTGTTTCTCTGCTACCTGACAGTACTCCAGATGATGATCATACCATGTAGTTTCTCTGCTACCTGACAGTACTCCAGATGATGATCATACCATGTAGTTTATCTGCTACCTGCTACAGTACTCCAGATGATGATCATACCATGTTGTTTCTCTGCTACCTGACAGTACTCCAGATGATGATCATACCATGTAGTTTCTCTGCTACCTGACAGTACTCCAGATGATGATCATACCATGTAGTTTCTCTGCTACCTGCTACAGTACTCCAGATGATGATCATACCATGTAGTTTATCTGCTACCTGACATAGCCTTTCCTACAACCACCACTTGATTGCAGTACTCGTCCTATCTCCACAGCTTAGTATGGTTCAGTACGTTAATACCACTTCAAGACACAGCTACTCCTATGTGGAATCCTCCTCAGTGACAACAAACCCAATTGACTCCTTGTCTTTCTGTCTGTCCCCTGGATATCAGTCTGCACTCTGCGCTATTCAGCCCACAGAGAGGATGGGTCCCCAATGGCATCCTGTTCCCTATATCGTTCACTACTTCTGACCAGAGCCGTATGATTCCATGGTCTAAAGTAGTGCACTATATAGGGAACAGGGTGCCATTAAGATGGCCTCAGTAATAGCAGACAAACAGCCTCTCAGACATAATGAATGACTGCTATTCATTCTCTATGATAACAGAGGGCTCCAACTTTGGGCGAGAGAGAGAGAGAGAGAGAGAGAGAGAGAGAGAGAGAGAGAGAGAGAGAGAGAGAGAGAGAGAGAGAGAGTAATTAACAACAGCAATTAAGACATTGTAATTAGCTGCCTTGTTTAATCAGGGCCAGGCTTAATTAGTTTGAACGTTCCTTTGAAAACACAAACAGAGGGATAGAGGTTGTGGGTGTTCCTGGATCCAAGAGTTACAGGTGAAAACCTAACAGGGTTTAATATCCACAGGCATTAGTCGTCTCAATACTGTAAAACCACTTAGGTGTCCTTTAATGACTTAGCCAAATACATTATATGGACACTGCAGTGTGGTGACCTATTCAAATACATTATACTGAATGGACTCTGCAGTGACTTAGTCAAATATAGGGGTCTGTTTAGCTCGATAGCAAACCACACACCCTCAGAAGCCAGAGCTAGCTATGCTAATAGAATACAGCACATGAAGCCAATGGATTGGGTCCTGCAGTCATTTAGTCAGTTATCCACATAGGAGAACTTTGGTGACTTAGCCAACTTCAGAGCATCTTTTTAGCTCAGCAGGAAAACCACATGGCCACAGAAGTTAGTGACTGTTTGATTTCATCCAGCAGTCTGCTATGCAGTAGAAGTAGATCCTGGGGACGAGGATAGGAAAAGTATGATTCAGCAGGTAGAAGGGTTTCTTCCAATGGAGTGGCTTACTAGTTCCTCCATCATTGGAACTACTTTATAATGTGATCTGGTTATCTCTCTCCCTGTATCATCATGTGTCCTCTCTCTCCCTGTATCACCATGTCTCCTCTCTCTCCCTGTATCATCATGTTTCCTCTCTCTCCCTGTATCATCATGTTTCCTCTCCTCTCTCTCCCTGTATCATCATGTTTCCTCTCTCTCCCTGTATCATCATGTTTCCTCTCCTCTCTCTCCCTGTATCATCATGTCTCCTCTCTCTCCCTGTATCACCATGTCTCCTCTCTCTCCCTGTATCATCATGTCTCCTCTCTCTCCCTGTATCATCATGTCTCCTCTCTCTCCCTGTATCACCATGTCTCCTCTCTCTCCCTGTATCACCATGTCTCCTCTCTCTCCCTATATCATGTCTCCTCTCTCTCCCTGTATCATCATGTTTCCTCTCTCTCCCTTTATCATCATGTTTCCTCTCCTCTCTCTCCCTGTATCATCATGTCTCCTCTCTCTCCCTGTATCACCATGTCTCCTCTCTCTCCCTGTATCATCATGTCTCCTCTCTCTCCCTATATCATAATGTCTCTTCTCTCTCCCTGTATCATAATGTCTCCTCTCTCTCCCTGTATCATCATGTCTCCTCTCTCTCCCTGTATCATCATGTTTCCTCTCTCTCCCTGTATCATCATGTCTCCTCTCTCTCCCTGTATCACCATGTCTCCTCTCTCTCCCTATATCATGTCTCCTCTCTCTCCCTGTATCATCATGTTTCCTCTCCTCTCTCTCCCTGTATCATCATGTTCCTCTCCTCTCTCTCCCTGTATCATCATGTTTCCTCTCTCTCCCTGTATCATCATGTTTCCTCTCCTCTCTCTCCCTGTATCATCATGTTTCCTCTCCTCTCTCTCCCTGTATCATCATATTTCCTCTCCTCTCTCTCCCTGTATCATCATGTCTCCTCTCTCTCCCTGTATCACCATGTCTCCTCTCTCTCCCTGTATCACCATGTCTCCTCTCTCTCCCTGTATCATCATGTCTCCTCTCTCTCCCTGTATCATCATGTCTCCTCTCTCTCCCTGTATCACCATGTTTCCTCTCTCTCCCTGTATCATCATGAGTCCTCTCTCTCCCTATATCATAATATCTCCTCTCTCTCCCTGTATCATCATGTCTCCTCTCTCTCCCTGTATCATAATGTCTCCTCTCTCTCCCTGTATCATCATGTCTCCTCTCTCTCCCTGTATCATCATGTTTCCTCTCTCTCCCTGTATCATCATCGCTCCTCTCTCTCCCTGTATCATCATGTCTCCTCTCTCTCCCATGTATCATCATGTTTCCCTCTCTCTCCCTGTATCATCCATCGCTCCTCTCTCTCCCTGTATCACCATGTCTCCTCTCTCTCCCTATATCATGTCTCCTCTCTCTCCCTGTATCATCATGTTTCCTCTCCTCTCTCTCCCTGTATCATCATGTTCCCTCTCCTCTCTCTCCCTGTATCATCATGTTTCCTCTCTCTCCACATATCATCATGTTTCCTCTCTCTCCCTGTATCATCATGTTTCCTCTCCTCTCTCTCCCTGTATCATCATGTCTCCTCTCCTCTCTCCCTGTATCATCATGTTTCCTCTCCTCTCTCTCCCTGTATCATCATGTCTCCTCTCATCTCTCCCTGTATCATCATGTTTCCTCTCCTCTCTCTCCCTGTATCATCATGTTTCCTCTCCTCTCTCTCCCTATATCATCATGTTTCCTCTCCTCTCTCTCCCTCTATCATCATGTCTCCTCTCTCTCCCTGTATCATCATGTTTCCTCTCCTCTCTCTCCCTGTATCATCATGTCTCCTCTCATCTCTCCCTGTATCATCATGTTTCCTCTCCTCTCTCTCCCTATATCATCATGTTTCCTCTCCTCTCTCTCCCTCTATCATCATTTTTCCTCTCTCTCCCTGTATCATAGCTCCATGTGGAGGGAACCTGACGGGCCCCACTGGGCTGATCCTGTCCCCAGACTACCCCGAGCCGTATCCTCACGGACGAGAGTGTGACTGGACTGTCTCTGTCACCCCTGACTACGTCATCGCACTCAACTTCAACCAGTGAGTGTTACCCTGGGCACTAATGGCATACGCACATAGGCTACACACCATGCATGGATATTGTCAATGTTGACGTCAACTAAATTCCATTTTTCTGTCGCAGTCAACTTCAACCATTGAGAATGACACTGATTACACACATAGAGGCAAATCCTAACTTCCAATTAAAATGTTCACTTTGTCATGCATTGATGCCAATGGGAGACTTTAAGTCGAAGTTTGGATTCGCCTCCATAGAAACCATGCAAGGACAGTATCAACATTATTGTATGGTCAGTTCATAGGTTCAAGAATACTCCTTACCCACATTATTCCCTGGTCAGTTCAAAAACACGTTGCACTATTCACATCTATGGTAGCTAGGTATGAAAAACACATGTTACACTATTCAAATTATCATGATATATTTTCTATTATAAACTGGGTGGTTCGAGCACTGAAATCGGATTGGCTGACAGCTGTGGTATATCAGACCGTATACCACTGGAATGACAAAACGTTTCTTTTGTATTGCTCTAATTACGTTGGTAACCAGTTTATAATAACAATAAGGGAGTTTGTGGTATAAATTGTTCCTAAGAACATCCCATATTGGCCATATACCACATGCCCTCGTGCCTTATTGGCCATATACCACATGCCCTCGTGCCTTATTGGCCATATACCACATGCGCTCGTGCCTTATTGCTTAAATGTAACCTACTCTCTCCATCTCTGTGTTGTTCAGGTTCAGTCTGGAGCCCAGCTATGACTTCCTCCATATCTATGATGGTCCTGACTCCCTCCACCCTCTGCTGGGGAGTTTCTACGGTACTGACGTCCCCGACCGCATCGAGAGCAGCTCCAACACACTGTTCCTCGCCTTCCGCAGTGACGCATCTCTCAGCAGCAACGGCTTCATCCTGCAGTACACGGGTAGGTCGCCCCCTAGTGCCGGGAGGAGTGAAGTGCTTCTGTGTTTTTGGTCTTTTGTAGTAGTGGTTTTGTAGTACTGGAGAATGAGAAGTGGGGGAAAGAGAGAGATGGGTGGGGCGAGAGAGAGAGAGAGAGAGAGAGAGAGAGAGGTGGATGAGGGAGAGATGGGGGAGAAAGAGAGAGAGAAAAAGAGAGAGAGAGCGAGGTAGATCAGAGAGAGAGAGAGTTGGGAGAGAGAGAGGTGGGTCAGAGAGAGAGATAAATAGAGAGAGAGAGAGAGTGTGTGTGTGTGTGTGCCAAAGCTCTGTTTGATCAATGTGTCTCTGTCGTCTGTCGCCACACTAAAGGCTTCTGATAAATTAGAGCAAACGGACGTTTGTTGTTAAACACTCCTTTGGCTCGGTGTGCTGACCGACCCCGCTTTGTGGTTTGTTTGGAGCGCCGTCTAAGCTTGTTTGATCACAGGCGACAGTACAATACGGTACAAACTGTTTGTACACGATCACAGACAATCACAACCGCCCCTGTGTGTGTGGGTGTATGTGTTTCAGTTGGTCTGGTAACTGATCTGTGTGTTGTGTTTGCGGTTGTGTCTCGGAGGGTTGGGATCCTGTAGTGGTGAACATCTGTCATCAGGAATAGAGGATTCAACATATTTGGAAATGAAAGGGGCAACATCAGTTGGGACTTTTCTTTAAAGACCTGGGCTTATAGCCTAGAGAACTCAATAAGGGCTATTGTGTTAGAGTAGGCAAAGCTAAAAGACAGGGAGTATCCTGTAAACTCTGTTTGGGGTAATCACAGTCAGCTTTGAATGTATTACTGAACTTCACTAAACACCTTTTGGTTGAATAAGGTACAGAATTTTGGGTAATATGAGTACTTAACATTTTGGAATGGTAGATCGTAACAGGAAAGTAGACATGAAAGGACAATAATAGCCTCTGGTTGGGGTCATTTTAGTCAAAATACAGTTTTGGGTAATGGTGGAGGAAAGTAGAGTAAATGAAATGAGGGGAGGGGAGAGGGTAGGAGAGGAGATGTGGGGAGAGGAGAGGGTAGGAAAGGAGATGAGGGGAGAGGAGAGGGTAGGAGAGGAGATGTGGGGAGAGGAGAGGGTAGGAGAGGAGATGAGGGGAGAGGAGAGGGTGGAGGGAGAGGAGGGGAGGGGAGGGGAGGGTAGGAGAGGAGATGAGGGGAGAGGAGAGGGTTTGGAGAGGAGATGGGGGAGGGAGAGGGTAGGAGAGGAGATGAGGGGAGAGGAGGGGATAGGAGAGGAGATGGGGGAGGGGGAGGGTAGGAGAGGAGATGAGGGGAGAGGAGAGGAGAGGAGAGGAGAGGAGATGAGGGGAGAGGAGAGGGGAGGAGAGGAGGGGAGAGAGGGAGAGGAGGGGAGGTAGGAGAGGAGAGAGGGGAGGGGAGAGGGTAGGAGAGGAGATGAGGGGGAGAGGAGAGGGGGTAGGAGAGGAGATGAGGGGAGGAGAGGAGAGGGTAGGAGAGGAGATGAGGGGGAGAGAGAGGGGGTAGGAGAGGGGAGTGAGGGGAGAGGAGAGGGGAGGAGAGGAGATGAGGGGAGGGGAGAGGGTAGGAGAGGAGATGAGGGGAGAGGAGAGGGTAGGAGAGAGAGAGGGGAGAGGAGAGGAGAGGGAGGAGAGGAGATGAGGGGAGAGGAGAGGAGAGGAGAGGAGAGAGAGGAGAGGAGAGGAGAGGAGATGAGAGGAGAGGGTAGGAGAGGAGAGAGAGGAGAGGAGAGGAGAGGAGAGGAGAGGAGAGGGTAGGAGAGGAGATGAGGGGAGAGGAGAGGGTAGGAGAGTAGATGAGGGGAGAGGAGGAGAGGGTAGGAGAGGAGATGAGGGGAGAGGAGGAGGGGAGAGGAGATGAGGGGAGAGGAGAGGGTAGGAGAGGAGATGAGGGGAGAGGAGAGGAAAGGAAAGAAAGCGAAAGAGAAGCAGATCCTGGCCTTCACCTGCTTCTTCTTCCAACCCTCCTAAACTTTTCTCCTTAATTCACTCTCTGCCATGCTAAGAGCAGTGGTTCTATAGTATGGTCCAACTGCTGCACCAGGTGAACCCAGTGTGGTTCTATAGTATGGTCCAGGTGAACCCAGTGTTGTTCTATAGTATGGTCCAGGTGAACCCAGTGTTGTTCTATAGTATGGTCAGGTGAACCCAGTGTGGTTCTATAGTATGGTCCAGGTGAACCCAGTGTGTTCTATAGTATGGTCCAGGTGAACCAGTGTGGTTCTATAGTATGGTCCAGGTGAACCCAGTGTGGTTCTATAGTATGGTCCAGGTGAACCCAGTGTGGTTCTATAGTATGGTCCAGGTGAACCCAGTGTGGTTCTATAGTATGGTCCAGGTGAACCCAGTGTGGTTCTATAGTATGGTCAGGTGAACCCAGTGTGGTTCTATAGTATGGTCCAGGTAAACCCCAGTGTGGTTCTATAGTATGGTCCAGGTAAACCCCCCAGTGTGGTTCTATAGTATGGTCCAGGTGAACCCAGTGTGGTTCTATGTGTATGGTCCAGGTGAACCCAGTGGGGTTTCTATAGTATGGTCCAGGTGAACCCAGTGTGGTTCTATAGTATGGTCCAGGTGAACCAGTGTGGTTCTATAGTATGGTCCAGGTGACCCAGTGTGGTTCTCTATAGTATGGTCCAGGTGAACCCAGTGTGGTTCTATAGTATGGTCCAGGTGAACCCAGTGTGGTTCTATAGTATGGTCCAGGGTGAACCCAGTGTGGTTCTATAGTATGGTCCAGGTGAACCCAGTGTGGTTCTATAGTATGGTCCAGGTGAACCCAGTGTGGTTCTATAGTATGGTCCAGGTGAACCCAGTGTGGTTCTATAGTATGGTCCAGGTGAACCGTTGGTTCTATAGTATGGTTCCAGGTGAACCCAGTGTGGTTCTATAGTATGGTTCCAGGCAGGTGAACCCCGTGTGGTTCTATAGTATGGTCCAGGTGAACCCAAGTGTGGGTCTATAGTATGGTCCAGGTGAACCCAGGTGGTTCTATAGTATGGCCAGGTGACCCAGTGAGGTTTCTATAGTATGGTCCAGTGAACCCAGTGTGGTTCTATAGTATGGTCCAGGTGAACCCAGTGTGGTTCTATAGTATGGTCCAGGTGAAACCCAGTGTGGTTCTATAGTATGGTCCAGGTGAACCCAGTGTGGTTCTATAGTATGGTCCAGGTGAACCCAGTGTGGTTCTATAGTATGGTCCAGGTGAACCCAGTGTGGTTCTATAGTATGGTCCAGGTGAACCCAGTGTGGTTCTATAGTATGGTCCAGGTGAACCCAGTGTGGTTCTATAGTATGGTCCAGGTGAACCAAGTGTTGGTTCTATAGTATGGTCCAGGTGAACCCAGTGTGGTTCTATAGTATGGTCCAGGTGAAACCAGTGTGGTTCTATAGTATGGTCCAGGTGAACCAGTGTGGTTCATGGTATGGTCCAGGTGAACCCAGTGTGGTTCTATGGTATGGTCCAGGTGAACCCAGTGTGGTTCTATAGTGGTCCAGGTGAACCCAGTGTGGTTCTATAGTATGGTCCAGGTGAACCCAGTGTGGTTCTATAGTATGGTCCAGGTGAACCCGTGGTTCTATAGTATGGTCAAGGTGAACCCAGTTGTGGTTCTATAGTATGGTCCAGGTGAACCCAGTGTGGTTCTATAGTATGGTCCAGGTGAACCCAGTGTGGTTCTATAGTATGGTCCAGGTGAACCCAGTGTGGTTCTATAGTATGGTCCAGGTGAACCCAGTGTGGTTCTATAGTATGGTCCAGGTGAACCCAGTGTGGTTCTATAGTATGGTCCAGGTGAACCCAGTGTGGTCCCCTATACACTTTCAATTCTTCACACTAATGAACCATAACCAAATAAGACTGAAATGACTGCATCACTTGTGGGGCCCCCGTGTTGAGGATCAGTGTCGAGGTGGGTAATGTTTCTTACCTCCACCACCTGGGGGCGGCCCGTGACGAAGTCCAGGACCAAGTCTCATAGGGAGGAGTTCAGACCCAGGCGCTATGGTGTTGAAGGCATCCTCACATATGCATTCCTTTTGTCCAGATGGTTAAGGGCAGTGTGTAGTGCAGTGGCGATTGCGTTGTCCGTGGATCTGTCAGGGAGGGGGCTGAATGTGTCGGAGAGGGAGGAGGTGATGTGGTCTCTGACTAGCCTCTTGAAGCGCTTCACGATGACGGAAGTGAGTGCTACTGGTCGGTAGTCGTTCAGTTCAGTTACTTTCCCTTTCTTGGGCACGTGGAGGATAATGGACATCCAATCAAATCAAGCTTTATTTATACAGCACATTTCAGACATGGAATGCAACATAATGTGCTTCACAGGAAAGACAATACTAAAAACAATGAAAATAAAAGCTGAAACATTTACTACACAACAAACATAAGATTAAAAAAACAAAAGAATAACAATAAAATTATGTTTTTAAAATCTCTTTGAAATATGTCCACAGTTTCAGCCCCCCTCAGGTTCTCTGGCAGGCTATTCCAGAGGCTGGGGTCATAGTAACTAAAGGCTGCCTCTCCCATGCCTCTTGGTCCTAGGCTTTGGGATAGTTAAAAGGCCAGTGCCAGAGGCCCTGAGGGACCTACTGGGTACATAACTTAAAAGCATGTCTGAATGAAAAATATGTATTGGGGTGCACAATCGTGGATTGATTTAAAAAACCAATGGAAGACTCTTCAAATTCATTCTAAAACTCACAGGCAGCCAGTGCAGAGACCTAAAACCAGTGTAAGCTGTGATCGCCATCTGGTCTTGGTCAGTACCCGTTGCTGCAGCATTCTGTATGTTTTGCAGTTGACCAATGGCTTTCTTGGGTAGATCAGACAGGAGAGCATTACAGTAGTCAAGCCTGCTTGTAATAAAGCAATGGATGAGTCCTCTCTGGATCAGCCTGAGAGAGAAACGGACGCACCTTGGCAATGTTCCTCCAGGTGGTAAAAAGCTATTTTGGTCACATTCCTGATGTGTGATTCGAAATTTAGTTCAGAATCAAAAATAACACCTGGGTGTTTTTACCTGGTGTTTTATCTTTATTGCCAGTGAATTAAAATGTGCGGCCAGATTCTCTCTCTGTGCTTTGGCAACATAAAGTACCTCGGTCACGTCTTGATTTAGCTGGAGGAAGTTGTGAGCCATCCCAAGTATTTTAAATCACTAATACAGTCGAATAATTTATTAATGGAGCTAAGATCCCTGGTGACACAGACATGTAAAGTTGTGGTATCGTCTGCGTAGCAGTGAAAATCAATTCTGTGTTTTCTGATAATGCTTTTCCCCCAAAGGGAACCCAAATTTTGTACAAACGGAACAGGTTTCCAGACCAAAAAACAACCTTGTGGAACACCACATTTGATGTATTTTTTCCGGGGTTATGTTCACAAAGGGTGACAAAAAACTCTCGACCGGAAAAATGGGTCCTAAACCAAATTTAGAACGGACCGGAGGGGCCCAAACCCACCTCTCCAGTCTGTCCAAGGAATCACGGCAACGGGTAACCCCTCCCGTCTGTCAAAAGGAATCAGGTAAAACAGAGGCCAACCCACCCTCCTGTTGTCCAGAAGGACAAAGGTAAAACAGGGCCCCCACCTTCCTGTTGTCCAAAGGAAAATATGGTCAACAAGGCCAACCCACCTCTCCAGTGGTCCAAAAGGGACATCGTGGTCAACAGACCCCAAAACCCCACCTCTCAGTTGTCCAGAAGGAATCGTGGTCAACAAGGCCCCCCCACTCCCCATTTCCAAAGGACACGTGGCAACGGGCCCAAACCATCCCTCTGTCCAAAAGGGACACATGGCAACAGAGCCAACACCCTCCTTCTGTCAAAAGGACATCAGGGTAACGAGCCAACCCCCTTTCCCCGTCGCCAAAGGAATATGGTAACGAGGCCAAAACCCCACCTCTCCTTTGCCA